TGCTAATCGACTGGATGCAACTGTCCACACAGTAAACCCGGCTACAGTTACCGAGTTTCCTACAGATGGCGCCACATTCACAACCAGTTCTCATCTACTCGCATTCGATAGATGTTGTGGTTGTGAAGGCCTGCGGGATCCAGCTGGTCGTGAAGGCCGGGGCGCGGCCGAGGGGGCGCAGTGCCGAACGCCAGTGATGCTGGTGTTATCACACCTGCGGGCGGTAACTGGCGTGCAATACTGCACTCGGCAGGCCTGGCAGCAATTAAGATCGGGGTCAGGGGGGGGGGTAAGATGCGCCATTATCGGATCAATGTTCGCGCGCCAAGCCGCCATCGTTGTAGTTGGTTGCTAGGGCAGTTAGGCGTCATGCCCGCAGACTGTCTGGTGGTTACAGAGGCTGTGGCAACCGTTTGCAGGTGGGATTAGGCGCATTCGGTCTGGGTTACGCCGACTAACCTGCGGAGTAATTTGAATTTTTGTGGTGGACGTGAGATTATTTTGCCACCGCGAAAGGAAAGGTCCTAACTGATCACGCCAATATAACAGATGCGATCAACAGATGTGGTCAAGTTCAACATTTTGGATAAGTCCGGATTTACTACCTCGTGATTAGCTTGACTAAGTTGTAAAAAAATAGGCAACATCAGTGGGATTCGAACCCAAGGCAGCAAGTGGAAGGCTCTCGTACGGCCAACGCTCCAACAACCTGAGCTACGAAGTCCCATTGGGAGCAGTGACTTTCGTCACACTTTGGCCAAGTGAGCCGCCCAGACTACTGTAAAGTATTGTATTTCATGAAAATAATTTTCACGTAATTAACTGTCTATACTGCTGTTTGAAAACCTTACCCGGAAATAATTGTGGTAAGACTGACTTGTATTGCCGCCTAAACAGGAAACGGGAATAGGAACGCCCCGCGCACATTAAATAGTGCGCCTTTGCGATACAGTTCAGGTAGGGTTGATATTCCCATATCTTAAGGCTAACAATAACCTAAAACTAAACCTTAACCTATATCTTAACCCTAGCTCCACGAACCTAAACCTTAACCCTTGCCATTATCCCGACTC